TTATATTGAATAAAACTACTTTTACGGATTTTATTGCGTTTAATTAAGTTATTTTATATTCCCGACGTTTCGGTTGCTTTCCAGCAACCGTGGTCACGGGGGACTGAGGAGATTGACGTCCCGATGTCAAAGTTAACCCGGAGTACCTTCAGCTTTTTAATTAAAAGTACTTATTATATTTTCAATATTTTCGTGTATGACTGCTGGTCATGAGGTCCCAAAATCTGCCATAGAATATTTTTGTCAAGAAATTCTCAGTAGCTGCTCGGAGATAGGTAGTTGATGATGTTTCATTCTCGTGCCTCGCAATGCACGTAAAACTGTTGGTCCTGCGCCAGTGCTCTCTCCGGGCATAAATAATATACTATATAGGGCATAGATGAGCCACTCTGACAAATTATTAGGTGACGAAACGAGGGGAGTTTCTTCTGCGCTCGTATAGATGGCGTTGGGATTATAAATTACTGAAAATTACACTAGAGGGCACTATTAACTAGGTTCAGTATTATTTCGTACATAATTTAATAAAATTAAAAGGAAATGAATTTAATTACTAACTAATTTGTTTTACATAACTTCATTTAGTTTGTTTTAGATAAGCATGGTATAAATTGCTTCGTTTATACTCATAGAATTATTCTATGTATATACCGCTGTATTTCAAAACTTCGATAGCATGATTTAGGTTTTGGTATAAATAATGAATACCAGCAGTGGTGCCATCTTATAATAAAATGTGTAAAAATATTGGGGTAAATAGTACTTTGGCTGACTATGAGATGGTGTTAGTATCAAGGTAAAGCAAGCTACTAAGGACTTTCATACCCCTGTCTCCGGTTGTGTCGTAATACCGTTCCATCGGCCTATGAGAGTCGAGGAATAGAGAATACACACGTGCACTATAATCTTGTCCTGGCCAGATGGCACAATCCGTTGAGACTGGCTGTGTGACCAAAATTCGGTCTCGCGGGCATTATTTTATATTGTTATAATTTTATGAGTTACCTAAGTAAAATGTGGCCGAACCTTGGTTTTAAAATATGACAGATGGCAGCTAGATCTTTAACGCTATAATATGTCTGTTGTTTGTTTATATGTTTCTATGTCTGCATGTAAATGGTTTTTTATAATAAAAGTGTTTTGTGACGTTACTGAAGGTCGATGTCGTGTTTTATTGAGTTAAAACGTAAAGTTGCTTAAGGCGAGGATTTCTGACGTTAAAATGCTCTTAGCGATCCCCTCTTCGCTGCATTCATGTTTGTCTTGCACGAAGTAAGCGCGTGACATCGGGTTGACAAATAGTTACTTTATTTAATACGTTTTTATTTACTATAAGGAATTAAAGAAAAAAAATTGCCGATTAAGTACCTAATTTAATATAATAAATACATCATTTCAATTTACCGAAAAATATTATATGGTTATCGCTTAAAAAACGAGAACGCAAACGTCAAAGTTTTTTCTTGTCGATTAAATTGTGTATTGTTTTATCTGGAATGATAAAAAATTCTTTTAAAATACATTTGACTATGAATTTAATTAAGTATTTTATGTATACGCATATTTTGCCAAGCATATATACTATGCAACATGTATTAATTTTCAAGCGCCAATATAGTGTCTAAAATACGATTTTTTGTCCAACCTGGTCGTAATACACAAATTTTAACTATCTCTAGTATAGATAAATTCAAATGTTGTCCGTTAGGCCCGCCACATACATATAGAATTCCGTTTCGAGATTCCGTTTCGGAATTCCGAACGGGTCGGCCACACACATACGGAATCTCGTTTTGCCCGCAAAATTTCGAACGGAAACCTACCGTACGTGTGTGACGGGCCATAAATTTTATATGAACTTGCTGCGTTCGGAATTTCGCATCGGAATCCCGAAACCGAATTCCGTATGTATGTGGCGGGCCTTAGTGTCGCTAAAAAGCGAAAACGGCTCGAACTATTTTGATGAAATTTTTTGTGTACGTTTGAGAGTCGGGGTGGAACTAGCAATCTATATATATAAATAAAATTGAGGTGTACGGATTTATACATATAAATCAAATTGAAGTGTATGTCTGTAATATCGAAGTAAATGCCTTTTATTGAGCTGAAGGGGGCTTATTTGCATGCAATTAGGACATTACTAACCAATCTTAAAATTTTTGTGTCTATATATAGACAAAAATACACATATACATATATGTTTGTATATCCGGGTTAATTTTCGGAGTGGCTAAAGCATTTTAATGAAACTTCACGAACAGATAGAAAGCAATGCCAGGAGTGATCTGGGCTATATTTTATCCGAAAAACTTGGAGAATTTTCTTTGACAAATCGAAAAATTTATAAAATACAATTTAAAAAAAATTAAACTGAAAAAGAACTGAAATTGATCTATAATGGTTGTCTTAAAATCTAAATAACGCCACATTAATAAATCCCGGGTTACTAGTACCAAATAAAGTTAGTCCGATTTTCTACGTGTAAATCACTTTTCGCCAGAAATTTAAGATTTTTAATATTCCAAAAAAAAAATTATCTCACATTTAGTACGTGTTAACTTGGGTTGAAATAAGCTTTGTATGTTTCAAATAATATGTTTTAACGTACATAGTTCTAGAGTCCAAAGAGGAGCGAGGTACACGGACCTCGTTTTACCCAAAAATATGGGCGAAATTGTGAAAGAAGTCATAGGTGTCGGAATCCAAAATCACCCGCGCGAAGGGGCGGATCGCTATTATATATGCAGGGTTATTTTGTAATAACCGGCCAAACTTGCAGAGAAGGTTAAGGTTGAAGGTTACAGAATAAGTAATGTAGGATAATGGTGAAGAAAAATTAGTTGAAAATATCTCATACATTCTGTCCTTTTTATCTTTTAAATTCAAAAAGCGTGGTAATGCATTATTTTAACAGTTTTACTGCGCACGCACACGTGCGTAAGGGTCGCTCGGCAGGCAAAAAAGTTGTTGCCCATAAATCACATTCAATTTGGAATAATTTCGAATGAAATTAGAAGCCTTATTTACTCGTATTTTCAAAAACTGCAATAGCGGTATATCATTATTTATATATATTTGAACTTAGGTTTAATATTTAGTTATTCTTTGAAAAATAACCCTGTATATATAATAAGTAATATTTGAATTCCATTACGTTTACTTTTAAGGAGTATGGATTAATATAAAATAGATAATTAATATCGCACGAATGTCACTATCATTGTGTCAAAAATCACACATACATGCTTTTACGTCAGTCAAGTCCAAGCTTTTACCGTCTCACCCGTGCACGCATGCCCTAGCTCACACTTGGTTTTGGGAGAGCAGCTTTGTTAAACATAGTAATAAAGGTAAGTTTTGCATGTATTATTATTTAAAAGATTTGAATTTAGAATATCGACTGTGCTTGTGTTATCTCTATTAATTTACTCTACAATCTTTGACTGTCTGTTGTGTTAGTATCAAAATTGGAGGGAAACATTAAAAATGGTCTAACATGCTTTTAAAATTTTATGTAATGTATAAAATAATGTTAGTTTTTATTATTACAGATTACACAAAATTTTAAACGACATATTATACTAATTGATGAATTTTACTTCAGACTAGTCATATTTGCCGTATGGTGACGACGAGAGAATGCATTCCCGTTTCTTCCTGTAGGTGTCATAAGAAGCGACTACGAGATGCTAGAAAAGCCTCATGGTTTTCTATAGATGGTAGACATAAATCATTCATTCATTTCTAATGATCCGATCATTCAAGTATACATTCGTTCTACGATCTTGTTCATTCGGGTCGATCATGCAAATGGATCATTTCGAGTTTCAATACTCTGTGATCTGTGAGACCCGCTCGATAATGTCGGTCGTCGGACATGTATTATTGTTTACAAATGTAATTGCAATCATCAATACTTACTATGCGACTCGGGCCAAATGAACGAATCATTCACGATTGACACACGGTCTACCAGACCGGCGACAGGCAGCAGCGCAACAGGTGTTCACGTGCAGTACAGCAATCGTCAATACGCCTGCCAAGTGTGACGAAGAAGCCAAATCCTTCCCAAAATGAGAGAGGCTTTTGTACATGTCCAACAGTTGATTTTTACAGGTTAAGGAAGAAAAAAAGGAAGTCATAAATATGACATTGCAACGTCTAACACCTCAGTCCTCCCGAAACCACGTATGCTACAAGTACTTAAAACATCGCGAATATAAAATAAGTTGATTAAACGCGATAAAATTCATAAAAATGACCTATGGACCACAGCAACCACTTACCATCAGGTGGACTGTGCTCATTTGTCACCCTATCCTATTAAAAAAAAACATTTTTATTCAATGTGTAGTGTTCACGTAAATTTATTAAATCTTTGTGTGTTTTATTAACCCTTACTACTTTTGGTATTTCTTTTAATATCAACAATAATAGAATAGAATAGAATAATTTTTTATTCAATATAGATCACATGTGTAATTCTTATTGAAAGTCATTTTTTACTTTACCACTGGTTCGAAATAAAACCTCTGTCTTGGGAAGAACCAGCGAGAAACCCAGCACGACTTTTTTTTAAAGAAAATTTTACAATAATGGTAGTACAAACTATATAAGTACAAAATTTATTTTAGAAACAGCTTGGAAGCGATCGCCTCATTCCCAGGGGTTATTATCAACCATGTATTCATTTATAGTATAATAACCCTTTTTATACAGTTTCAACTTAACAAAACATTTAAACTTGCTAATAGAGAGAGCCTGTACACTTTCCGGGACCTTGTTGGAATAGCGTATACATTGCCCCAAGAATGAATTACTGACTCTGTGGAGTCGAGAAACTGGTATCACTAGCTTGTGTTTGTTCCCAGTGTTTACAGAATGTATATCACTTTTTTTTACTAAAACTACCTTTTTTTTGTGAACATACATTAAATTTTCGTAAATATGCTGAGAGGTCAAAGTTAATATATTTATTTCTTTAAATGAATGGATTTCAGGCGAGCACACGGTGAACGGTGACCACTCCGACGCCCACCAGAGCACATTCTCCCACAGCAGTAAAGAGGTAAGCGGTTTAATTTGGTTAGAAGAGCCATGCATTAGTAGTATAGTTGTAGCACGAATTAGTCGGCTCGACCGGGGAAGGACCACGCTCTCACAGAATACCAGCGCAAAATAGCAGATTATAGCTGCTGTGTTTTGTATGGTGAGTGTAGAGAACCGGAGATCCATTTTACTGGAAAAGAGGCATTCCATCTTAGTCCTCACGGGTTACGACGCATCTGCATTTTAATTCTTTATTGAGGATAAATGTAGATGTCTATGGGTCACAGCAACCACTTACCATCAGGTGGACTGCGTGCTCGTTTGTCACCCTATCCTATAAAAAAAATACGATAGAACCTGAGTGGGATTAAGGGAAGCAAGTGTTGTCGGCCACGCTGCCTCATTGCTTTTTAGGACTTTACATGTCTTCGAAATATTTTAATTGTTTTAGATATGCAAGTTTCCTTATCGTGTATTCCTTCACTGCCGAGGACGTGGTGATTAACAAAAACATATTCATCTCCGAAATTAGAGAAGACTTATGCCGAGCTGTGGGACTCATAAAGACTGTAACTTTACGTTAGGGTCGACGGAGTTAGTTGAATTGACTTTCTTCATCATATCATAGAAAAGTATAGTTAAGCCTACCTTAGTTTTGCCTACCTTACCTTGGGAAATCAATCAGCTGGGAAAATCATGGCGACAGTGTCTTGGGACTCAGAAGGAATCCTATTGATTAATTATAAAGATAAAGGTGTCTCCATAACCGGAAATTACTACGCTTCAATCCTAGAACAATTGAAAGAAGCCATAAAGGAGAAAAGGAGGGGAAAATTGACCAAAGGAATCCTTCTTCTGCACGACAACGCGCCTGTTCACAAGTGCCATGTTGCTATCGCTGCCCTGCAGAAGGTGGGCTTAGAAATTTTGCAACACCCACCCAATAATTCTGACCTGGCCCCCAGTGATTATTATCTATTCATCATCATCGTTACAGCCCTTCGCAAGTCCACTGCGGAACATAGGCCTCCCCCAAGGAATGCCACAAAGCACGGTCCTGAGCCACCTGCATCCATCGACTTCCTGCATATCTTACCAGGTCGTCACTCCATCTAGTGGGGGGACGCCCAACACTTCGCCTGCCGGTACGAGGCTGCCACTCGAGAACCTTTCTTCCCCATCGGTTGTCGGTTCTTCGAGCTATATGGCCGGCCCATTGCCACTTCAGCTTACTAATCCGTTGGGCTATGTCGGTCACTCTGGTTCTACTGCGGATATCCTCATTTCTGAGTTAACGCAGAGAAACTCCGAGCATAGCCCTCTCCACAGCTCTCTGAGCGACCTTGAGCTTCCTCATACGGCCAGCAGTGAAGGACCACGTCTCAGATCCGTAAGTCATCACTGGCAACACGCACTGGTTGTATAATTTCGTTTTAAGGTTTTGAGGAATGTCTGACGAGAAGATGTGTCGTAGTTTCCTGAACGCTGCCCAGCCGAGTTGAATCCGTCGATTGACCTCTCGGTCGAAGTTGGACTTACCTAGTCTGACTATTTGTCCCAGGTAAACATACTCGTCAACAACTTCGAGCTTAGTGCTCTCTCTACTACCAAACTTAAAAATAAAGAGTTGAAGGAAGCAGTTTCAGCGTATTTTTTAGACAAAGACAGATCATTTTTTTTTAGAGTATACATAAGTTAATTGAAAGATCCAAAAACTAAATTAGGGTAGCAGGTGAATATATTGAAAAGGATAAATAAATTTAGATTTTTATTTCCACTCCTTACCCCCATTCCGCGACCTTAAAAACGCACCCTCGTATATTATGGTTGTAAAACGATTGGGTCGGTTTGATCGGGGAAGCATCCGGTCTTACAGAACACCAGCGTAAAATAGTAGCTTATCGCTGCTGTGTTTCATATACAAGGGCGGCACTGAAAATTTAGGGAATCGAGGAAGTGACTCAACATTACTATTTAAAAATATATTCTCTAAATGTGTATTCTCCGCGAAATTTGACACATTTTTCCATACGATGGAACCAATCATTGAAGCAACCATTCCATTCAGAAGTTGGGGTCTCCAAAATGGCCGCTTTGTAGGCGTCCACAGCTTCTTCAGGTGATGAAAATCTCTGTCCACGCAATTTATTCTTTATTTTAGAGAAAGTATAGAAATCATTAGGGCTTAGGTCGGGGCTGTACGGCGGATGGTCTAATAATTCTATGTTTTCTTGCTCTAAAAACTCTTTTAGAGTTTCTTGAACAGAAGTCAGCAGCTTGAGAACTATGTCAAAATCACTCCCTTAAGACAATCTATGGGCGAGGTCTACGTTCAGCAGTAGACTGTGTGCGGTGTGAGAACTCGCATTGTCGTGATGGAGGTTGATGAGGCGGTTGCAGTTCTCTTTACGGAGTTCAGAAACGACCTGTGGCAAACAAATGCTAGCATACCATTCTGCATTAACCGTTCTTTGTCCCTCAAGAGGAATAGTCGTAACATGGCCGGTTTTGGAGACAAACGTGGCCACCATGTTTTTTGCAACACTGCGTGAACGAACAATTTTTGTTGGCTTTAACTCATTTTCGAACACCCAAACTCGTGACTGGTTTTTTGTTTCGGGTTCGTACACGTATATCCAGGATTCGTCACCTGATTCGATGATGTATACAGCATTTGAGGATCCTGCGTGGAATCTTTCGAGAGTTCTGACGCACCAAGTAACGCGAGCCGCTTTTTGCTCTTCACAGAGCGAATTCGGTATCCATCGGGAAAACAACTTTTTTACACCTAATTGTTCATGCAAGATTATTTGTATTTGACTCATGCCAATGTCTAAAGTTGCCTGAATTTCGCGGTATGTCACATGTCGATCTTCCTCAATCAGCTTACGCACAGCATCAACGTTTTCTTGAGTGACTGCAGTTTTTGGACGACCTTGACGGCGATCATCACTGAGCTTGACACGGCCACGTTGAAATTCAGCAAACCAGCGATACATTGTAGTTTTGGATGGAGCTTCATCACCAAATGCAGAAATCATCCGGTCAACACACTGTTTTTGTGTTAAACCACTTCGAAAGTCATAATAAATCATCGCTCTTGAATTTTCTCGAGTCAATTACATTTTCTCAACGACTAAACAAATTTGACAAAACCTTGTGACAAGACCGAGAATCTTTTTTTAAATAAATAAATCGTATTCGATTTTTAAAACCAAGGAGTTTTCAATTAAAAATTTTTTTAATATGATAGGAACAGTGGAATATTCCATTTCAGATACTTTTAGTGCAGCCTATGTAGTGAGTATAGAAAACCGGAGATCCTTTCTACTCGAAACTAGGCATTCCATCTTAGTCCTCACGGGTGACAACGCATCTGCCATTTTGATTAATCAAGGATAGGTTTAGATGTCTATGGGCCACAGCAATCACTTACCATCAGGTGGGCTGTGTGCTCGCTTGTCTCCCTTATTCTATAAAAAAAAAACACCTGAGTGATATAATCCAATGGGTCTGTAAGCCCAAGTGGCAATAGGCCGGCAGTATGGCTCCATAATCGACAACCGATAGAGAAAGTTCTATAGTGCCAGCATTGTACCAGCATAATAATCGTGTTATCCAGGCCCAATTTAGGTCACGGCGGTCAGTCTCAAAGTCTCAAGACCAGGTTATAGTGCACGAGTGTATGTGCTAGCACAGGTGCACTCTCTATTCCCTCTTCAATAGTCCAATGGGATGGAAATCCGACACGGCCGCGAGAGATCAGGCACAGGACCAACGGCTTTACCTGTTCCCGAGGCACCGTTGTGAAACACCGCCAATTTGATTACAGGTAGTTTCTGAAAATTTCTGGTAACTGTGATAAATATCTTCTCTATGGGGAAGGCCTATATTCATCTGCATTTGGTATGTCTGTGATGGATAGATGTATGGAAGATAATCTACCAGGAGCACATGATCCACAGCGAGGTGAACTATGGCAAATATCCCCTATAAAGCAATGGGGGAGGCCTATGTTCAACTGCACTTGGGCTGTAATGGATAGATGTATAGAAGATAATCTACCAAGAGCACATGACCCACAAAGAGGTGAACTATGGCAAATATCCCCCTATGAAGCATTCTACAGGGGAGGCCTATGTTCAGCAGTGGACTGATAGGCTGAGATGATAATAGTAAACGTAGTGATATATATACGTTGGAGCTCTACGCGGGTAAAAGCTGGTATTGAATAAATATTTCTACTTAACATATTTTAAATATCTTGCAGGGTTCCCCGTCTAAGGAGGTCTCCACCGAAGACTCGCCCAAGAAGGACAAAAAGAAGAAGAAGGGTCTCCGGACACCGTCCTTCCTCAAGAAGAAGAAAGAGAAGAAGAAGGAGAAGTCCAGCACGCCGCAACCCGCCTAGAGGTAAATGTCTGACGCCTAATCTATACTATTAATATAATAAAGCGGAAGAGTTTTTTTTGTTTTTTTGTTTATTTAAACGCGCTAGTCTCTGGAACTGCCAGTCCGATTTGAAAAATTCTTTTTGTATATTATAGATAGATTCATGTGGAATAATATAGGCTATCTAACATTAAGCTATATTACTCAGCTAGCCTTAAATATGGATATTTTTTAAGCGAGTCAGAAGAAAAAGCACTCCCGAAATTATTTATCCGCATACGCTGGTGTTATCGTTAGGGAAAATTTTTTTTTTTCGAAGACATGCTAGGTTCGCCAACACGCGTTTCAGGCATTCAACAGGAAGGATTTTGCCACATTTGTCCCGATTGGCAGGCGGGTTGGCAACCACAGTTTTTTTATTATTTTTTTGAGTTGTTATAAGCAAGATGGTGCTGCCCATCTTTTATTTTAGTTTCTCTCTGTCGCCTCTTAGGGCCGTAATAACAAACGTTACTCAACGACGAACTCAAGTGCATAATCATTTGATACGCCCTCATTACGATATCAGCATTTCAAGATCGTTGCTAATTAATAAACACATAAAAACAGTATCTCAAAACGATGTACTTTGGAATACTGTTCTGTGACTTGCACTCAAGTACACATACTTGGGAGTCGAGTTTTGTTTATTAATCAGTGTGGCACTCAGCTGATATCGTAAACCTAAACCACATCTTGAGATATGTTATATGTATGTAATGTGTTATTAATAAGATCATAACCTCAAGATTGTACTCAAGTGCGCGTACTTGAGCTGATTAACGTTTATTAATACGGGCCTTAATTTCACAGGTATGGAGTAGGGGGTTATCTACATATACATAGGTATATAATGAACGATCTTCTTATTTCCAGATAAAGCTCCAAAACAACACTGCCATGTCGCTTTCAAAATACTTCGTAATTTTTAAGAGCAAACTCCAGAATTACAATTGTATTATTCATTATTCACCGCTTATACAGTTCGATGAGACAGTGGGATTGGAAGGGATCCCTGAGATTTTAAGTTCGCATGGTTTGACCCACCTATATATTAGCAAACGCGAATTAAAACCGCCCTTCGGTTCTGAGTGTGTTGGTCGAAACCTGAGCACTAATAGAACTGAGCCGCTACGGTTTCGACCAAACACTCGGGCCTGAGTGACTAACGACGCTAAAGTTAAGGGCTAATATAGACGGGATTTTATTTATGTGACAAATGATTTTTATCGATTTTTATTAAATTTCCAAAATGAAATTGATTTTTTATGACTTGCCAACAAACTCTTATGAAATTTCTTATTTTATATTGTCTAGTTTTGTCCGAATCGACAGTTTTCATCGAAAGATATTTTTTTTATTATTGTAATTTTTATTTATTTTTAAAAGCTAATTCCATTTTGGTGTTAAAATGGAACTACGCGAGTTTTATTTGCTTCTACTTATCTAATAGAGGAAACTATTAGATTAAGGTGTTTTTAATGTGTTTATTTTAAATTTTAATCTAATTTAATTAATTAATTTTACCACTTGAATTTTTTAATTATGAAAATATTTTACGATTAAAACTGTCGTTCGGGATATATGGTGCATTCTTACAAGTAATTCTTCACCAGCATCTAATGCTTTTCGTGTTAGGGGGCTCGACCATTTTGATTAAAGGCCCACGCCATTTTGTGCTTTTTAAAATTTAATTATAATATAAGTATATCCACACTAAGTCAACTCGAAACGCATGCTTCAAATTAAAAAAAAATCATCAATTATTAAGAAAACAATTTTCATTTGAAAATAAGGTACAAATATCTTTTAAAGCGAGCTAAAAAAGCATGCAATTCGAGTTGTTATCTATACAATGTGGACATAGCTTACGGCATAGACTATAGCACCCTTATATCTGTCAAAATTCCCGCCCGACATCTGTCAAATTATAATATTGACGTAAATACAAATTGGTGATAATTTTGACAGGTGTATTATTTGTGACATCTGTCAATGCATATATGGAGTAATTGAAGAAATATAATATATATAAGCACTTTATCGATTTAACTTTAAGAAGTTATCGGCTAGCTAACTTGTAGATTTTTTTTCTATTTATTTCGTTTCAAATTGGGACGTAAGATAGATACGTATGTGTTAATTTCGACATGGCGGTGATTTCGACTCCAAAACTTCCATTGTATGAAATCAATGTACTTTCCAACTGTAATTTAAAGGTTCAATAAATCTTTAAGTACCCAATAAACGTAGCAAAGCATTTAAAAAACGTAAAAAAAAAATATAGATCCGCCTCTTCATCGCCGCCATTTTGAAAATAATACGTCTATAGTACATTAAACAGAATGTTGTTAAGCTTGGGCCCAGATTTTAATTTCAAACATAAATTTTATATTTTTTATTATTTTATTGCATGTAAACGCGGGCCCAGCATCAATTTGACATTACCTAGAATTAGTCTAGAGTTGTTAAAATGACAAGTTGATTTTTTTTTATTAATACGTTATGTGGGACATCGCGTTACGTCCCGTATTTATAAATATTAAGTACTTGTAATATTATAGAACTGTGGACACTGGCATTCTATGCGACTTCGTGTAATTTGTATTTGGAATAAATTATTAGTTTTAAAGCAACTTTTTATTTTTTTTAATCCTCTATTTTAGTCTCGTCCCGACCGTCACAAATGTTGCCAGGCGATTGATGCTGGATTTTTTAGTAGTCAATAAGTTTTTAGCTTAAAAGAGTTTATTTGTATCATGTATTTTTTTATTTCTAAAATATATGCTGTTTGGAAGATTTATTATGGAGCATGTTGTTTCATTTTTTTTATTATCTCTTTTAGAAAACCAAAGTAGGCTATTCGTGCAATTCTATCCATATAATCTCGCTGGTTGGCGGTCCAACACCGTGCGTTTTACACAGAATTTTGTGAAACGCACGAACCTATGGAATTTACTGTCGCCAACGGTTCTTTTCCACCGATTAGACTTAGGGACCTTCAAGCAAAGAGCCTACTCCTTTCTAAACAACCGGCAACGTTACAAATTAAATTAAATGAAATGAAGATTTATTTGCTTTGAAAAGGGGTACATTTAGGTGGTTATTGTGAAGTGTATTTCAGCTTTTTCAGCCATCTATGAATATCATTTAAATACATTTTTTATAATTAAGTTTACTATATTACAATATCAAATTCAATTAAAATATTTATCGATATGTCATCGTTTACAATTTAGCAATTCTAGTACCAATACATACAAATTTAAATATAATTAAGATTATAATGCAATTAAAATTATAGAACTACTGTTGTGTCACATTATTTCAAATTTAGGTTATTCACATTATAAAAATAATGGTCATTTAACCACCTGTAAAGGGTGCCTTTAAATCTATTAAGGGGTAAGTCTTGTATTTACGAGTATTTTATTAAATATGAGAATACACATGCAGTAGCAAATTTTATTTAAATCGAGCACTTGGTATGTGAGTGATCAGTGATCACCGTCATATATAAACATCTGCAACACAAGGGTAATGCATTAACCATGGTGTCGCAGATGTTTATGTACGACGGTGATCACTTACCATCAGGTGAACCCATTGAGTTATATGTACTGCGTACTAGAGAAGCCATTCCGAACATTGACTATTTTCAACTGAACTGTACTGCAATCCGTACAAACTAAATATTGCGTAAATTGAAGATTTGTGAATTCCATAAAATAATTATTATTACATTTTATTTAGAAATATATATGTTTAGATTAAATTAAGATATTTTATATTAAATTCTTATATTAATTTTATATTAATATCTTATTTTATATCAAAGTCTTCGCGCATGCGCGACTACTACTGCCGCGCATGCGCGAAGACAGAGTAGCGCACAATTTTTGTTTGGAATGGCTTCTCTAGTACGTAGTACATATAACTCAATGGGTGGACCGCATGCTCGATTGCCTCCTCTTCCACTAAATAAATTGCAGTTTGCTGATTTATCAGACAGTATAATTACACACTGCGAGTGTAAAGTCCAACCGTACCTTTCTACTGGCGTTAACATTTTAAAACCAAAGGAAACGCTATAATTGGACAATTATAAAAATGTCTTAGTATTCATATGTACGTATTCATCTATACCGCGACGCAAGCGAACTCATATAATAACATATAACATAAAAACATTAACATTTAACATTATATATTTAACTCGCAGAATACCAGTGTAAAATAGCAGTTCAATGTTGCTATGTTTGGTCTGGTAAGTGTGAGAACTGGAGACCGTTTTTACTGGATACAAGGCATTCCATCGTAGTCCTCAGGGGGGGGGGGGGGGGACAACTCATTTTCATTTTGATTCCTAATTGAGTATAGATAACGAAGTCTATGTAGCATTTACCTTGAGCTGTGTGCTTGTCACCCCGATCCTATAAAAAACATCATTCATTATCATCATTACAGCCCTTCACAAGTCCACTGCTGAACATAGGTCTCCCCCAAGAAATGCCACAAGGCACGGTCCTGAGCCACCTGCATCCACCGACTTTCTACATGTCTTACCAGGTCATCACTCCATCTAGTGGGGGGGGGGGGGGGGCCTTACACTTCGTCAGCCGGTACGAGGCCGCCACTCGAAAGCCTTGCTTCCGCATCGGTTGTCGGTTCTTCGAGCTATATGGCCGGCCCATTGCCACTTCAGCATACTAATCCTGTGGGCTATGTCGGTTACTCTGGTTCTACTGCGGATATCCTTGTTTCTAAGTTTATCACGCAGAGAAACCCCGAGCATAGCCCTCTCCATAGCTCGCTGAGCGACATTGAGCTTCGTCATACATAAATACATAATTTAACAAATTTTAATCTCATATTTGTCACTTGTTTAAAAACTGTTTTAATATATACCTTAAATTATTATTGAACATTCGTCTCATACGCTACCAGTGAGGTAGGTATTCCATCTTATATTCTTATTATCTTATCTTTTCATCTTATCTTTTTCTTATTCTCATCTTATTTCATCTTATCTTTTTCTTATTCTCGTCTTATTTCATCTTATCTTTTTCTTATTTTCATCTTATTTCATCTTATCTTTTTCTTATTCTCGTCTTATTTCATCTTATCTTTTTCTTATTCTCGACTTATTTCATCTTATCTTTTTCTTATTCTCATCTTATTTCATTTTATCTTTTTTTTATTCTCGTCTTATTTCATCTTATCTTTTTCTTATTCTCATCTTATTTCATCTTATCTTTTTCTTATTCTCATCTTATTTCATCTTATCTTTTTCTTATTCTTGTCTTACTTCATCTTATCTTTTTCTTATTCTCATCTTATTTCATCTTATCTTTTTCTTATTCTCGTCTTATTTCATCTTATCTTAGGTGACAATGCATCTGTTACCTTCTTTGTTTCAAGATGACTGCAGGTATCAATAGACAGCAGAAGACATCATCAGATGGATTGTAAGTTCGTTTGTCACTTCATTTTTATTAAAAAAAAACCGTTACAGTAATAGTGAACTTAAGTTTTTCAAAAAATTTTAAAGGGCTGTGCCGCTAGTAAGATATTTTTATTTTGTAACGTCATTATCATTACGGTCCGCGCATGCCGGGCTGAAGTTGGCTTGCTGAGACATACGCCCGTGTACAGACGGCAGTCGATAAAGATGTGCCACTTCCAAAGAGATTTAAATATATAGGTATACTAACTAGTAAATGTCTTTGGCCACTGCATATTCGCTCCTAAGATTGTTCAAGGAAACAGTTTGTTTTGTCTAATATTAAAAACTATTATTATAATGTAAATATCTTTATGTATTTCAGTAAAACAATATTATCTATAAAGAATTTCCATAAACAGTTTGAATATAAGTACATATAATAGTAAATACACGATATCAGCGGAGACTACAAATTATTTCAGTAACCACAAACTAATATAACTAAACTTTTCAAAAAAAATTTTACATGTACATCATCAAAATACAGTTACAATATTGTTAAATAGTATTTATGCGTATGTATTAACATTGTATTTGTGTATATCGGGATATATGGGGTTATTTTTCAGAGTAGTCGAATTTTAATCTTAGGTTTAAATGTATAAATAGTGATATTTGTGATTGCGAATATATAGAACAGCTCTAACCCTACATACCTATTGTCTATGAACAGGTCTATGTAGTATAGTTGGAGTTGTCCACCCCCTGGACTGAACCTAAATATAGGAAAAAATGTTCTTTAATGAGTTTATGTTTTTATAGTTATACAAATAAATATTAATGGGAGACTAGGGAATGCAATCTCGCGAGATTTTAGACTTAACTATCATCTCGCGAGACCATAGAGCCAGTCTCACGAGATTCGAGCGTTACGGCATCTTGCGAGATTGGGTATTTTTTACTAAAAACGTATGCAAATGCTCATAATTCTATTTACTGATTATCATGCAGGTAATTTATCTGTCAGGATTTATTGCGCGTGCTAAACGTGGTGATTATATTCCCTTTGGCGCGTACAGCCGCGCTATGATACACACAGATTATGCTGCCCCGCGCAATCTCGCAATCTAACGAGATCTTGGACAAAAATTGTACGAAATTCAGTCTCGTAAAAAAATATGGACGAAATCTCGCGAAAACGAGATTGTATTCCCTGTGGGAGACCCACAAACTTGGTGATTATAAATATTTAAAAGCAAAATTTCTACCATTTATTAAAAAAAACAATTTGACGGATTCCTGTCAGACGTTAGTTTCAAGTTCAGTTGTATAAAATTTTTAAGTTACTAAAGAAGCTATTGTAAATAATGTTATTAAAATCCTTTAAATAAACGCCATAATGGGAGCGTCCGCAGACGCACAGATATGGCGAATGCAGGTAAGGCTTATTTATTGAACACAAAAATACAAAAACATAAATATACCTAGATTTATACGTGGTTGAGCCGTGCTGCAGCTATATTATGGTTTTAGCACGAATGGCTCGGCTCGACCCTGGTAGGACCACGCTCTCACAGAATGCCAGCGTAAAATATTCGTATGGTGAGTGTAAAGAACTGGAGACCCTTTTTTCTGGAAGCGAGGCATTCCATCTCAGTCCTTAGGGGTGATAACGCATCTGCATTTTGATTCTTAATTAAGAATAAATGTAGATGTCTGTGGGCCACAGCATCCATTTATCATCAGGTGGACCGTGTACTCGTTTGGGCTACAAACGTTTGGCTATTCTACAAAAAAATTCAATGAAAATAAAATGAAGTCCGTTATCTTTCATCCAGGAAGCGAACAAAAAGTGAAAATACGAGGTTTTAAAACTTATTTAATAGTAATCACCATCTATAGATTTAACTTGTATCTATCATCATCATCATCATTACAGCTCTTCACAAGGTTTACTCTAGTAATACCACAAAATACAGTTTTAATTTTTGAAAAAACGCTATTAATGCTATTACAAATATTAACATTACTAATATTCCCTTTAACCACTTCTGGTAAGATTAAAATGCTTGTGTTAGAAGTGGTTCACGACAGTAGTCGAATGGCGGATTCGAACTAACGACCTTTCGAGTTCGCGGTGCGAGCCCTGCCATTAGGCTACTGACCCTGAGTTCTAAGCCACCTGAATCCATGGAGTATCTGCATGTCTTACAAGCTCGTCACGTCTGTCTCCATCACTTCTCCTAACAGTTCGAGGCTATTCGGTAGTCTCTTACTGTTAAGAGACTTCTATAGAGTATTACAGTAACTGATTACATAAATTTTTATCAGTTTCTCTTTCAGTTGCTCCCGAGCAATCCTAA